TGGCATGAAATTTAAGGATATCAGATACACAAGATGCCAGACTAACTGGCCCCACAGTCCTTCGTATGGAAAAATGAGACCAAATAAGATCATTATTATAATGCAACAAGCAGTTTCAAAGCAACAGGAGCTGACAGTAGCTCATGGGCAAAGCTGTGACCTGTATCACCAGGGTAATTAAGTACACACGTGGCCTTGGTGATAGTTTATCCGACGCTGACATAAGTGGCATAGCTGGACACTACAATGACTGTGTGCATCAGTGGAAAAACAAGGAGCAAAACTTTTTGCAAGTCTCCTCCTCAGCAACCAGACCTCCTCCTTGGATATTCTTACAGTGATTTGTTCCAACTCCAAGCTAGCAAGACAGCCCAGTGAGTCCTTCCCAGGACCAGCAGGTACTTCAGCCGTTGTCTCTGGGGACGGCTGCACTTCTCAGCGCTGGCTGTGTGCAGGTTTGAATCCTGGCTGACTTCAGGGCATGCAGGATCATGCCCCTTCTCCTCAGAAACAGTGTGTTTTCCGTTGCACAAATATTCAAAGTAACTTGTTCTGACTTGTTCATTTAATTAAGGAGTCAGTTTGAAAGCTTCAGAAGAGTGAAGGGAAATTATGTTTTTAATTGTATTTTCTCATTGGTACAAAAATAGAATAGGAAATAACTAGAAGATATTAAACACAACTGTCTCATTTTAATGAAAAATGTATACCAACTGAAAGCAAACGCATTTTTATTTAAATGTCGTCACATATCTTTGTTTAAACCTTCAGTCTTTGTCATCACGGAAATGATCTTTCAAACTCTATGAATCTCTAATGCTGGAAGGGACTCCAGCTCTTGGCAGGTGGCGTAACTGCTTATGTCCCTGCTGGCTGTGTTTGTCGCAGCTGCTGAGCTCTTCTGTCCGCTTATGACCATCAAACTTCCATTCCCCTTCTGTCAGGCACTCTGGTTTTTCTCCACAAATGCATATATGAGATTGGTACTCTGCAAAGAAGCATGGTAAGGGGAGCAACTTAAATGTGTGATAACTAGGTCCAGCTTCACAAGAGGTGCTCTTGACCTTATTCCAGGCTCAGAAGAGATGCCATAAACTTCCCTGCGGTGCATTTAAGAAGATGTCACAGTAGTTAACCTGGATCAACCAGCGCATTTGGAGTGTAAGGATGGAGAGAGCTTAACTGGAGCTTTAATCAGCCGCCACAGAGCAATCAGTTCTGAAGACCAAAATTTAAAGGAGATTATTTTGAGGGGTTATCCTTATTTTCTAGTGAGCTCAACACATTTAATGACACGCTTTTTTTTTTTCCCAAGCAGCCTGAAAGCATGCAGGAAAAAGTAGAGGAATGGAATAGAGCGACTGTGCCGCCTAGCGGGGCCAGGCAGCTGGGGGGGGGGCTGTGGGGGGAGCCTCGCTGGCAGATCCTGCCCATGTCTCATTTCTGCTCCTGAACGCAAAGTTTAGTGAACTGTAGTAAGAAAATACATTCGACCTCTAAGCAACCTAGTTAATGTGGATGACTAACGCCGGTGTGTGCAGTGTGCCAGCGCTGCCGGAGTACACACTAACCAAGAATGCCAACGCCCCACTTCACCAGACACTTGAACGCAGTGACCTCTTTCTCCACCATCATCATCTGAAAGCTCCTAATGCTGATTTAGGCAGATGATGAGTATATAACTCTTTCATGGACACATGGCAGAATTAATGCAAGATTCTCAGGTTTGGGGAATTCTTTATATATAATCTTCACTGTCATAGGTTGAGAGTTTAGGCAGCTTTTAGGTGACCTGCATATGTGTTGACAGCTGGGAAATAAACAATTTACAGGTATGCAATGTTGTTTGCAGATTCTGTTCAATATAGTATCAATGTAGTGACTACCAGAAAAGATAGAGAGTGAAACAACACACGCAATTGCTTTATCCGACAGCCTTGTTTTCTCCTCCTTTGCTCATTGAACAAGTCTACCTAATGTCAGACTCAATAAAGTCAGGCAGCTGGCTATAAGAAACAAACAGACCCTCATTAAGGGAGGCCCTTCATGCAGCTTTTGTTTGTGCTCATCTGCTTTACTGGAATGGACAAGAAAAGCATGAATATTTAAAGCACTTTACTGTGGCTGGGAACCAGCTGAACACAATTCTGCTGTTTTTTCCCCTCCTCCCCTTCCTCAAATAGGAATCTCAAGTTCCATTTACCGTTCTGCTCCATTCAGACATAGATGAACATTTGATATTGCTGAAACAGATTAGAATGACAGAGATTCCTTGGCGGTTGTTGTTATAATGTGCAGATGCTGTCCTCTATTGAAGTAGTTAAAAACGTGATTTGAGAGCTGCAGGGTGCCGTGGTTGCTCTCCAACAGCCTCACACCCAGCAGAGAACTCACCCTGTGGTTTCTCTGCCCAGCATCAGTGCCCTCCCTGCGCTGCATTTGGGTGCCAGCCTTCTGCAGGCTTGGCAGCAGCTCGTCACTGGGCACAGAGTACAGAGCTGTGGCTGCAGCTAGAGAAATACACAGGCAGACAGGTCAGAGCTACTGCAGTATGGCAGAAAACTTAGTCAGCTTGCATGTCTGTTTCTTTGACGTTGCATTAAACCTCCCTGGAGTCTCTGTATCAGTTGAAATGGAGGAGGTTTGACTTTTGGGTAGATACATTAAAAGAACACAAGCCGGGGACCTTCTGCGTGGCAGCAGCAGGAGCTGGATGGCCAGTAGTAAATGCACCTCGCTGCAGTTCAGGCTGTCGCTCCTTATCACATCCATGGGGAGACTGACCTGGCATTCCTTGTAGAAAATTAAATACCTGGGGTTTGCCCTGCTGTTGCTCAGGCTTGGGAGAGGAGTGAGCAGATTGGAATAGGAAAGATATGAAGGCATGCTCAGAGACTGTAAGAATAGTATCCATCCTCTTTTTGTAAATGAGTTATTTTTCAACTGTTCGTACACGAAATTTTCATTCTGAAGAGAAACAGGTGCAAGGGAAGAATCTGATACCTAAATAAAGGTTCAGAGTGAGAAGGTGGGATACAGTATGTGTGTTCCTTGGCATATATTGCATTCATAGTCAAAATCCCAAGGGACTTCAACACAAACCCTGTAATGAAAGGGATGCAGGACCCAAACCAGTCCTTTCGCAAAAGCTATGAAGTATGTAGCAACAAAACCCTATCTTGCAGATAGGAAGTGGGGTGCATGACCTCAGAGCTTCTCCGCAGCTGTATTCTCTCATTCCCTTATGACCGAGGATCTGGGAATTGCACTGCATAGTTCCCATGAGCACCCCTCTGATGTTAGGCTCCGCAAATCCCAGCAGAACCACATACTGGGACACAGATACCTCCTTTCACTATGAGATTTCCTCATTTTCTTTAAGTCTCTCATCCATTTATCTATATTTTTTTTTTGGCATGCAAGAGAGGAAAAGTAAAAGACACTGAGATTTCAGGGCTAAAGTATTGACATAAGTGAAGGCAGTCTTTATATGGGTAGGGAAGATGGTTTTTTCTCTCTGTGTAAACTGAACTTCCCCGGGATTGCAGAGAGCTCATTGTTCATGGGGAGATGTTCCGAAGTTTCTTTTTTAACTGCCTTTATGCACGTACACTTTATGTGTACTTTGCAATGTGTTTTAACGTGCAGCATAAGGTCTAAGGGACATTTTAACAGTTCAAAGGGTCAGCTTAACAGTTCATTAACTCAGTCTGTGCTTTTAGGCACTTTACAGTGCACTTGATTCCCTTGAAGCTTAGAACTGTGTATACCCTGGAAGAAATCAGTGTATGCTCCCGGTGTCAAATTCCAATGAGACCATATGGAAGATTGGTGAGACACTGTGTGGAGAAGAGATGGCCTCTCTACCTGATGCTCACGGAAAGCACATTTTGCAGGCTTTCTGAGTAGAAGCTAGCTGAGGAAGGATAATTTGATCTAGTGCTTCTCCTCTGTTTTGGATGCAAGGGCCTGATTAGAGAACAGAGATTTTATGCATGCAACTTCACACAGTTGAATTGGACTGTAAATTTCACAAAACAGTGAAATCTCTCTTCTCCGAGTTAGTGATGAAGGAAACAAGAAATCTAGTCTGTACAGCTCCAGTGGCAGCAACCTCTTATAAATTGCACTAATTTTTTACCTCAAAAAAGAACTGCAGCCTGCAGAGATCTATTATTGCTTTGTCACATAATTTCAGAGCTGTAAAAACTGACACCAGAGCTAAAGAAAATATTAAGCACTGTAGAATAAGCGTTCTGCTTTTCGGTTGTCTTCACTTTTCACTGTGTACTTATGGCATATATTAAAAATAATGAAAGAACACTAGTAATACAATCTAGTCTCAGGATATGGGGCATAATTTTCAAAAGCATGTAAGTTCCCAATGGGCGTTGGGTGCCAGATTCTTATGGTATGTAACTGCCTAAGGACAGGAATTTATGTATCTGATGTATCTAAACTTACATTGCAGCTGGTGGGAGCTGGTACCTAGTCACTCCTAAAAATACCATGGGTCTCCATGTGCAGCTTTAGATGTCTAGATGCATCACAGAAATCTGATCCAAAGTATCTCAGATAGTGACACATTCTGAAAATGGGAGGTTTTAATTTCCCATTTATTTCCTCTAGAGAAAAGTGCATCTCTTGCTGCATCTTCCTCTAAGAAGTTCAGTATCACAAGCGTTTGCTGCGTTGGGAGGCAGGAAAGTATTAGGTTGATGTTAAGAGTGTGCAAACCAAGGCATGGACAGGTATGATGAACTTGCTTTAAATCTGGAGGTTTCTCTTCTCCCAGTCCTGGTTCTGAGCACCCAACCATCATTCACAGAGCTCCAGCCCAGTGCATGTAATGGCAGGGGAGAAAAGGTGAATCCTGGCAGATAATGCAAATGAGTGAAAATTGCAAGAGCCACAGTGGAGAAAGTTGCTTACTCTAATGTCAGAGCGTCAAGGAAGGCTTGATGCAAGGCACAAACCCATGAGAAATTGCAAAAGCCAAATCCTTTATGAAGATTTATTTAGAAAAACACAATGCTGGGGAGTCACTGTTACATAGCGTGGTAATTCCTTCCTCTTGAGTAATATGCACCATACTCTGCGCATGCAATTACTTTTGTTCCAGAGATAACATCTTCATCTAGAGTTATACATGTACACATATGGTCCTTAGTGCACGCTACGATTCACATGTATGTTAGGACACACACAAAGTTGAGCTTTTCCATGAAAAAATATATAAAAAATACAAACCAAACCGAAGCTGTCAACACGAGAAGCAATGTGCAAAAATAGACAGTTACTCCTGAATGTTTGCTTAAGAAAAAAGGACTCTTCTGTCCCTGTTCCCCATTCAGCATTGAGTATGCCAGGTGATGCTTGAAAGTGGAATTTAAAATAACTAGTCATGTCCTGACCCCCTTCATGTTAGTTGCAGAGATTTTTAACCAGCTCAATGATCCTATATTAATATGAAAATCTGCCTTAAAGCATCACCACCATGTGCTGTTGTTGTATTGAACAGATCTTTGTATTGTTGCAGTGTTTGATTTGTGATGCTCAAGGCCAGGTGACAACCAAGCCCTTGTGTGGAGCACACAGAAAAGGCAGGACAGAGATGTCCCTGGTCACTGAGCCCCCTGGCAGGGGCTGGCAGCAGCTGCCTGGAAAAAATGGCCAGGGATTAGGAGTTCTCCTCAGGCCTGCTGGAAGGGGCTGGACCTCCCAGGTCCCCTGCCACAGGGTGCCCAGCTCCAGGCACTGTCTGCTACTGCATGGTGGGGCTGGTGTTGGAGATGATACTCTGGAGTGCCTGAGGAATCCTCCCTTCAGAGGAAACACGCCTGTGCAAAGAGCATGGCCAAAGAAGGGACAGAGAGCCCACAGGGCCTTCCCCAGCCAGGTACCTTGGTCCATGGTGCGAACGGTAGCTGACATGGATGGAGCCACCTGACTATATAACCACTTGTGTGGCTCTGAGCAAAGCTGTACAGGATGACATGCTGCAGATATCATGAAGCAGTCAGACCAATCTATCCATCCTTGTAGAACTGCTGCATGCAAATACCAACACCTTAAATGGCAATTAAGACTAGAAATGGATTGCACTTGTCTCCCTGAAACACATAGACGTACCACCTTTTAAAAAAGAAACTATAAAAAAAACAACTTCAAAATACATTAAAAAAAATGATTGATAGTTGGGATTCCCTTGGCTGGATCAAAGGAAAAGAGGAAGAAAATAGGGGCAGTGTGATTCTAATCACTGAAGTTTGTCAGTGACTATAATCTTTTGGTTTTGGGGATGAGGATTCTTACTACTTATGCGACTCAGTGCTGCAAAGCCCAGTATTCCTCTGGCAATCTGCATGGTTTTAAGGACTGTTTATTTAAGCCCATGCAGAGTTATGACTGTGTTACAGAACTTGATGTATTTTTAATGGGATATCAAAGTTTTTCACAGCAAATCCTGCATGGATCCAAGGAAAATCTCAGCAAGAGTCCCCTGTGTATTGTGTTTTTTACTTGCAAAGAAAAAGTTTCAGTCTTATTCTTGGGAAGGGAGGGAGAGGTGGAATTGTAAAGACTAGAAGGTCTCCAGGAATACCGCACTTTACATCCCAGCTCAGCAGACCACTTTAGCAAACTATTTTAAGTGGGATTTAAGTGTATGTATGTCATTCAGTTTGGATGCCAGTATGAAGACCAGTATCCAACAGGAAGAATGTTGCCTTCGACCTACTCGTTTCCATTACAAAAGGCACGGAGGGAGGGTTCATCCTGTTAACTTGCACCCCAGCACTGGTCAGGAAAACATCCTGCAGGGAAGTACATCCAACATGTACCGCCTGCTCCTGGGGCTCCCCTGGTTTCCAGTGCTCACAGCTCTGCCCCCTCGGTCAGGAGGGACTATGACCTCCAGCATTGTCATGTCACCCCGATGAAGGAAGCAGTGCTTCATCCCTGGTGTCCCAAAGGAGCTCTCAGAGGAGAGGCTAGTGTTTCTGGGGGAGCAGCACTAGACCCAGGTGCATTTCTGCAGCTTTCTGAAAGCATTGGTATGTGTGACACACCTAGCCTGCGTCTCCCTGAGCTCTGACAGCATGCCTATGTGTAACCAAAATGAACCTCTGGCTGTTAGTCAGAGACAACTGTTGGCAGTGATAAAACAATGGTAGAGAATAGTTTTAGACTGTAAAATACACAAAATGAAATGTTAGACTGAATTTTTACTAAAATTTTGATGCTGTTGAGCACTGGGGTTAGTTGCTGCTTCCCAAGTGTTTTCCACTGGGTTAAGATTATGTCCGGCATCTGAGTTAAGGCCCTGATTTAGCAAAGCATTTGTGCCTACGCTTAAATCTGCCCTTATTCAGCTAAGCACTGATGCAAGTACCTAAGTGCCTTGTGATACAGGGACAAACCCAAACTGAAGCCTATACACGTAAGTTACGTAGCTGTCACAACTACCCCTTTAATGCTTTTACCTGCTAGCACAGCTGCTCTCCTGGATTCACTGTTTAATTAATCTTCATCTAAAAGGTCCTGAGAACAGTTCTATAATACTAACAAATGTACATAAATACCAGAACTAAAAAAAAGTTAAATGCATGGCTCAAAGTAAAACAAATATTGCTCAGAATACTTGTTTAAATTAATAGCTGTTAAATGTGCATTCTAGTAGCAAATAAAAACCTGTTGGCCTAGAAAAAAAACCAAAACATTCAAAGTATATAGGATTGGCAGCACTAATATTACCTTACAATGTGGAGTAAGAATAACAAGTGTCAGTGTAACATTGTGAAATGATCCACCTAACCTAAGCTTATGTAAACAAGTAGGCTTTGACAATGTTTATATGTCTAGGCGTGATCCTGCACTTGGACCTGGACGGGTGGAGACCCAAGAAGGCAGAAGGATGCTGTGCCAACGTGGTTCCAGCTGCCCAGATCCCACTGCAGGAGAGAGGCTCGAGGGTGTGATCCTGCAAACCTGTACTGGCATTACTAGTTCTACTCCTGGGAGCGTCCCTTTGCAGGGTTCAGTTCAGCAGCACTATAAACATGTAAGTAAGGATTATTCACAAACATAAGGCATTGCAGAACTTGGCCCTAAAATTTCTACTTTCAGCAGAGAATCCTTTATCCAAACACAAGATCATATTTTAATGTATCAAAATGTGTCTAAAATAAGGATCAGAGTCACTAGGTTTTAAGCTCAGTAACACAATTAAGATTCTGCGTCTTGGCTTCAGATATTGCAAATCATTCTTTTCATTAAAATCAAACCAACTATGAATCTTTCTCATAAAAATTAAATTAACCGTGAAAGTTAAAAAAGAACAGACTGTGTTTTCAAGGTTAAAAGGAGACATTAACACAATTAATAACTCCCATTGTAATGGTTTTCCAGTGCTTTCCCTTCTGACCAGTGAGCACACTGAGACAGCAGTTGTTGGTGGCCTCCAATCTTGCCTTGCATCCTCCGTGGCGTGGCTACTGCCGCTCTCCTTCCACCCGCTTTTTACGAACTAGACCAATAAAACAAGAAAAGAGCAGTCATTATTGCTTTCCTGAGAGCCTAAGGACTTTTCTCACTGGCACACTCCCTTCCCAGTAACATGAATAAGAAGGAAGAAGATTCCAAGAAATACTCAACAGGATTATGTCCGTAAATGCCGTAATTAATAGATCTTAATGCTAAAGAAAACATTTGTAGCTAAACTGCACTTTTCTGTATCACAGACTGTAGAATTTCACCAGATGTTCATATCAATACATTTTCTATAAAAATCAGATTCTGACTTAAAGGTTTTAGATGATGAAGAAATCACCATTTTCAGTTCTTTCTCCCAGTGGCTCCACTTAGATTTTTGTTACAGGTTTTATTCTTCTTTTAAAAGCCACTGTGTTCCAGCTAAGTTGATACTGGTCTGCTCTAGTCTGTGTGGCAGTGCTCTGGATAATTTAAGCATTAAGCACCAAAGATTAATAACTTTTGTAATTGCACAAGTGTATACTATATAGATAAGTAATAATTATCTTTTAGAAAATAATCTTAAGTACTCTGAAGTACTGGTATCAGTGAGTATTGACAACAAGGAAAATATCATATTGAACCTTAAATTATCTGTTTAAACTTCACATGCTCTGATTGTATCAACTATCTGATAGTAAGTTTATTAACTCTGGATTCTCACTAGAAACCAAGTAAGTTGGAGTTGCCATTTGGCAAAGCAGAGAGTGATGAGATTTGTGTTATGAGCAGTATTATTTTGACAAGCAGCGCCTTGTGAATTTTTACAGCACCTAAGATAAGTTTCAGCTGGTATAGAGCAGGTCTAATTGGGCACCATTTGCTACTCCATACCCTAATAAAAATGTATTGAGTCTTCTCTGACTTGGCCAGATAAGGTTAGTGAGGTTCTCCTGTTTCTGTGATACAAAATTTGGTATTAAATCAAACTGTCACATCCGCTTTCTGATACTGAACTGCTGAAGGACAGAACAAAAGCAGTAAAACTGGATGAATGAATGCTTTCCACTACAGATAGTCAATAACAACAATATATTACTACAAACATTGCATTACTTTACTATCAGGAGGTTTATTTCATAGTGCTTTCTTGGCAGACTGCATTTTTCCAAAGCCTACAGTGTAACATCAGTCTTTTGTGTCTGCTTTCAGTGGTTTGTTGCTTCATTTATTTTATTTTATTGAATTCTTTTAAGTTATTCTGTCCTATTACATCTTGAACAGAACCATACAATGCAAAAGCAGGAAAATGAAGATAAGGTACAGGACATATGTCTAATGGCAGCAGGTTAAATAGTGGAAAAAAAAGGCCTTTCTCTCTTTGTTGGTGGGATGTTTCAAATACCATTCTGGGACACTAATAGCTTCAGGACCAACAGTATATCATTGGAATGCGTAGGTACTGCTAAAAATTAAAACTGCAAAAAGATAAAAGTATGTCTGAAAGAAATAGGTTCTAGCTCAACTTTTATCTCAGTTCTCACAGAGAGAAACCCAAGCTGAAGCCAGCAAAGGCATCAAGGTTTGACACCTCACTTTGAAGTAGAATTTATTAAAACCACATAGTTGGTTTGGGTTGGGTTTTTTTTCGTTATTACTGTAAACTACTCCTGCCCAGTCATCTCGTTCTTGTTCTGCTCTATTGAGCACACAGGGCAGAGCATTGTCACACTCAGGTAGAACTTGCAAAGCTTTATTGTCTTTGCTTGCACTTGGTCACACGGGCAGGAAGGGCTTTTTTGTTCCCTTGGTTGGGCAGGCTTGGTCTGTCACGAGCAGGGCAAAGAAGTGAGGAATGAACAAATAGGATGGGTTTGGCTCTCTGCTTACTGGCCAAAACAGCTGACAGGTCAGCTTGAAATCCAGGGTGCTTCGTGGAAAAGGCTGAAATAACTCCCCTTCCCAGAAGGAGTGGGAGAAGAAGAATAGTGGCTGTTGTCTGCTCTAGAGTCTGTGGAGCTATGCATCACCCCTCACATGTAGCAGATGGAATGTTGTACAGACAGGAAGAGATGTGTCTAGGAAGGTCACGGCTTGGCTAACATAAACAAATGATGAGTAGATGTAGTAGCATCTTACCCAGATCGTTGTTTTTAGTGATAGCTGCTGCTACCCTGGTTCTTGGACCTTGCTTTGTGAACTGGTATCCAAACTTGAGAATCTTGGAGTTCTCCTCCAGCATCTTGGCAATCTCCATCTCTACAGCTGTGCCCAGCTGCTGCCTCTGTCGGTGATGTGGTGAAATATCCCCAAAAGAAACAAAAATATTTGTTTTCATATTAGAGGGAAATAAGTGGTTGTATTTCACTGCTGTGCTGCAAACTACAAAGAGAATCCCATCCCTGGAGATTTTGCTCTGGGTATTATATTTGGCTTTGACCAGTTTTATTTAGAGGATTTCCACTGTTTGGTTGCACAGGCATGGGATGTGAGCTGCAGAATGACTGAGCCATAGAGGCTGCCTTGACTTTGCCAGAGGCCTCTAGGAAAACCCTCTGGGAATCTATATAGAAGGGACACAAAAATGGACTTTTACTTAATGTTCTCTCTTTACCTGGTTGTCAATTTTAATCTCTGTCAGGGATTCATTCACTTTCAGTGCATCAATCAGTGCCAAAATACCCGTCCCAGTGATGAAGTTGGATTCTACATTCAGACTCTTCAGTGTTTTGTTCACTTTCAACATATCTGCAAATGCCTGAGGGGGTCAAAAAGAGGGAATATGAGATAATGTCTTCAGAGTTTCAGGGAATAACAGAGTATCTGCAAAACATGGCTTAGTACCTACAAAGAAATAAACCACAAAAAGGCTTAGAAGTACATAGAGGTAGATCAAAAGAGATTACACTTCTATTTTGCATAGTCACAGAGAAATTCTGCAAGGGAAAATGAAGAATGCATCCTAAAGCAGACATAGACCTACTTAAAAATTGTTGTGGGTTTGTTCCAGACAGTGCTTAAACTTACAATAGCTACAGGGTCATTGCTTCGAGTAGCTGCAAGGCTGAATGTCTTCACGTGTGTGTTGCTTTCCAAAGCTTTTGCAAATTCTTTCAGTGTTGGAATAGGAATATTCTGCATTAAGAAGATAAACCCAGTAATTAGGAAAGCCAGTCACATTGCTAGGTACTGATTTTAATTATTATCAAACTGATTGATTAATAGCCACAGTCTGCACAATTTAAATATCTCCAATGCTTTTAAGAGTATCTCAGAATGGACAACACGTGCTCTGCTCGTAGTGGCCTTCAGAGACTTATGGAAGCCTGTGCTAGGATGGGATGTCAGCACTGCCTTTAACTGGGTCAGGCCAACGCAAGCGCGTGACTGATCTCTGAGCTACTTTCTGGTTTTGCTGCTGGTTGCTTAGTCTCCAAGTGCCAGCTCCTCTTCCATTTGCAGGTGTGAGCTAATTGAATTTGGCCGATGATGATTACATAGTGCCCATGAGATATCCTGCTTTATCACCTGCTAAAGGAAGGCAGCCAGAGGGAGTCACCTCTTGGGCTTTTAATTGGCATATAATTCAGTAGCAGGCATTGATGACCTTGGAGTCTCTACAACAGTTCCCTCCACACCCCTTTCCTGTGTGTTCTGCTTCTTCTGAACAGTAAAGAGAGACAAAATTTGAAGATAAAAGGAAAGGGCTTTGGAAAAATTTGAATAAACCCTCCTGTGATGACATAAAGGAAACCACAGCATCTACCTTTATGTTGTTGAGATTAATTTCTGTGAGACTAGGATCATTTGCTTTTATCCTTTGTAGACTTGCTTCCACGTTGGTTGGATTAGGTGGCTCCTCAAAGATGGGCTTGACCTTTTCACCTTTCACCACATCTGCAACACAAGATCTCATGAAATGTTGATGTAAGGAGCAGGCATCGTCATTAACAGTCTGGCTTTTCGAGTCCCATTTAGGTTTGTACTGTGGCATTCAAGAAAAGGTTTATATGAACCACAAAACTTGGAAGTAGGAGTATTAGTCCCATTATCCCTGTCATGCCCTTTGCACCTTCTGTGCACCCAGAAGCATGTCACTGGAAGCTGCAGGTGCAGCGGCTGGGCAGTATCATCATGGGCAAATTCCTCCTTTTATGTACAAAAGTCCCAGCACAATTAATTTGAGCCAAAGCAGCTTTAAAGTCTATTGTATAAGATGAAATATACTGCAAGGGCTGCTTTGTTCTTTGCCTAACACCTGTAAAGGAAGATGTGCTCAGAACTTGCCCATCACATTAGTGAGAAAATGTCCCTACACTTACAAATAGACTGTGCTAACACAAAGGGACATGACCAGGAGGCCCCTCAATTTCCTTCCCTTGGCTGATGCTATCAGCCTTATGATAAATTCAATTAGCTCTTGTAAAATTGCAACATCTGCACTTTCTAAATAATAAAACTATCAAAGCATGAAAAGCAAGTCCGGTTGCCAGCACCAAGATTTATTAAGTCTTTCAGTATTCATGCTCCAAAAAGATACAGTTTTTAATGCTGCAAGCTATGAGCTATAAATATTCTTAGAGATGCATAAAAATCATAGCTGAGAAAACAATTAGTACTTTTAACTCCCACGCATGTAGCTGTGGAGATTGATTTATAAACCCTGACCACTGAAGCCACTAGAGGCAAGAAAGGAATATGTTACTGACCACAAGTATGTTTAAACCCTTTTATTTTATGTTGCAGACAGAGGAGTGATATCAAAGACCTGTGCTTGAGTCTCAATGTACGCATTGCTGTTCAGTGCAATGGGTAAAGTTCAGCCGATATCATGGGCCAACAGAAACCCAAGTCTTTTTATAGAACCCATACTCTTAGTAAAGACAAAGTCATACACAAACCTTGAGCTGGTTTTCACTCTGCTCCCTTTTCCCCTCAACTATTATTTTTCCTAGTTCCCTGACAGACCTCACAAAAATAACACTGAATAACACTCCAGCCTTCCTAGGGAGTAGGAAATTGAAAACAACTGGTAAAACGCATAAAGAGAATTCACCCTATCTTGGAGGCAAACAAAAACCAGCAAAGCATTTTTTTGCACTTATGGCAACACTCTGCCAAGCTGGGAGCTGGGGAGAGACTTGCACCCTGTCCTCAGGTTAGACATCACAGTATACTCAGTCTAGAGTTAGCAGTATTTTTCACCTTCTACTTCTTGTGGCTTCCCACGAGTTTTATCTTGTTTCTTTAATAATGGTGCTGTTTTGCCACATTGATGGGCAACTTTTGAGATGTCTCCCTCTTTTACTGAAGCATTTTACTTGGCTAAGGAAAGGTGTTGCTTTTGGACCAAAGAATAAAGTGATGTGACGGTGATCTTCTGCTTCTTAAGTCTGTGATTGGAGCATAGTTTAGCTGACTCACATAGCTGACATTTTGACTCAGTACAACAAAAATATTCTGAAATCTATGTGGATTAGTAATGCATGCAGTTGCCTGTTATGAGATAGATGGCAGCTTGCACAGGGCCCCACTGGGGAGGCTTGCAGAGCAACCTTAATCCTGAGAAAAATGAAGTGACACAGTGTCCTGTCTACTTTCCCACCTCCCCTTTAGTAAAGAAGGATGGAAATGAAACTCCTCAGTAAAGATAGTTGCTGTTCTCATGGCCTTGCAAGAAGAAAACATTTTTTGAGTACGGCTTCCCCAGAAAAGAGCATTCCTCAATCTTGTCTTAAAAAGCAAAGTTTAGCCTACTTGATATCCCAGAGCTTGGAGGTGACAAGCTTTGGATCGATGCTTGGCAGCTCTCAAGAAGAACTTGGAATTCAGATGTATCCGTTTCTTTGCCCCATCCAGCCTCCTTTTGGCTGGTGAGCTAAGTTCTGATTCACCAAAGGTCTGTTTATTTAGTACAAACGTTTCTGGATTTGTTTTTAGTAACTATAGCAGTTTCTGTTGGGGGATTTCCTGAACAATTACACTCCCCATGTACCTAAGAAGCCCTGTAACAGCCAGTGTTCAAACACGCTGCCCCAGGATGGAGGCAGAGGTAGGAGATGAGAGAGAGCAACTGGGTCAGGGGCACATCCATGCGGTCTCTGCCTCCCTGTGAAGGCAGCTTGACGTGACTCTGGTCAGAGATGCGACTGCCACGCTCCAGCCCCATAGTTACAATTCGTTCTTCAGTTGGGGAACTGTAGGGACTTGGGCAAGATGGCCTGGCCTGTGCCCTGGCCACCCCATAGCTACAGCATGCTGCTTTCTGTCTGCTGCCTAAACTGCAGTGGAAATATATGTCTTGGCTTTTTAAGTGCTCCCATCCTGTCAAGCACCTCTGCAGAGCCAGTTACTGCAGTTAAGCTCCTTAGGAATGATTTGTTTGCATAGTGCTGTTGTCATTATAGATAATGAATATTAAGATTATATTTACTTTAAAGAGGTTCCCCTCATGATTAATTAGATCAGTCAAGGTAAGGCCATGTTCCATTACACTAAATTAGACCAATACACCCAACCTATAGATTTACAAGTCCCTAAAGATGACGTATAGCCCACAAGAAAAATCTGGTTGCTTACTTCTCACGCTTGCTTTTCCATCTTTACCGCGGGCTCCTGCTTCATCAAATTTTGGGTTGTTGACCATGTTGTGCACTCCAAGAACAGCTAAAATGTGTAAATACCAGGAACAGGATACAATGTTAATGGTAGGAAAAAGATAGGCGAAAAATATCTGCTACAAATTCTAGTTCAATTCCCCAAACAAAAAACCCTTTATAAAATGGTAACTCTGAGGCACGCTTGCTTGTAGGGAGTCTTTAGGGGTCTAAATACTGGAGATACAGACATTTTAATGTAAGTTTTTTAACAAATGAAGCAGTGTAGTATGCATATCACAGAAATGCCAGCTGGAAAGAACCACTGTGGGTAATCTCGTCCAGCCTCCCGTTCAAGCAGGAGTGTTGCCAATATTAACCAGGTCAGCCATGGCTTTGTCTAGCTGGATCCTGAAAACATTCAGGGATGAAAATCCCACACTCTCTTTGGGTAACTTGTTTCAGTGCTACACTCCTAATGAATTTTTTTCCATAATATACAACCTGAACCTCCTGTTGCTCCTTGCATTGTTTGGCATATCCAAGAAGCATCCGACTGTATGTGTGATTAGCTTAATAAATTAGCATTCACATGGGTTTCTTATAGAAGCATATGGATGCTAATGTACTTGGGGGAAAAAAAAATATATATTCCAGGACATCAAATAGTGAGAACTATTATGAGAGGAATGACAAAAAAATCAAAATTCCATAAAAGAACCTGCAGACAGAGTTATCTTTTCTGCAAAAGAACTTCCATAATATCAAAGAATAAATTGTTCTGTGTTTGCTGATACTTCTTCCACAAATTGTCTAATTGGACTTTATTCTTTAGGATCATGCAGGAATTAGAAGTTATTAACTTAATGTAGATTTTTACTTTTATAATCAGGGTCTTTTTCTTATGGAAACTACTCTGTTCTGTAAGCAAATGACTCTCTAGTTGCTGTTACAGATTATTTTCAGAACTCTTGGCAGTCAGTGTGCTACTTGCTGGTTTTCATTAGACTTTGATACCTACAAATTCTGTCATAAATGGCTGGATACTGACCAGAGATGAGCAAAACCTGGAACTTCCTTCCATGAACTTCAGAATTCCTGAGAAGTGCCAGCTGCATTATAATGCTGTAATACACCACATTTCGCTCAGAGCCAAGACTAATGCATACAGAAATGTGTGGTGTAGCCAGGAATTACAGAAGATAATGGCAAGATCATGTCCTTCAATAGGACAATATAGCAGGTACAAGAGTTTTGAGTTTAATGTTGATCTAACCCAGATTCAGATTAATCTAATAAGCTGAAATATTTCATCTGGACTTTCCTAAAGAAAAACAAAAAAATGTTGAAATTCTCCCACCAAAATTTTTGCACAGATTAGTGCCCAAAAAGATAGACCATGGATCTCAGAGAGCCCAGGGAAGGATCCACGCCGAACTGAGTGGAAAAGGCAGGTTCCACAGGGAGATCGCAACACTAGGTTGTGCAGGGTCTTAGGATGACCTATTGACATTAACCTCACCAGCCCTGACTGGTTTGCTTCTTCCCAAATTAGGGATTCAGATGATAATCCATGATACGAACTGCTTGAAAATCACAGGCTGTTCAAGAACTTCAGACTGGCCTTTGTTATACTATAGTTTCAAATGTTATTTATGCAAGTGGGTATATTTCAAAATTATTTCCTTTGTGCACACTCTAGAACATGAGGTCATACTTGGGATTAAAGGAAAAGAATTAAAAGTGGTAAAGTTAGACAGGTCTAATCAGCTGGCAACCAATTTTCTGATTCAAGGGCTTAGATTCCAAACTCCCTCATGGATGCAGGATCTTCATGCACTGCATCCTCTAACAAGGTCACCCCACCATTTGGGATGTCAGAGTTGAGAGGAGGTAGCAATAGTACACTACAGACAATGTGGATGCAGTAGATCAATGGTCTCCACTACAATGTAAAACACCCCAGCCTGCATCTTGACCCCTCCCTTCCCCAAAGTATATTAACTGGTTCATCTTCTCCCCTTGCCTGCTACATCAATGATAATTAGATGAGAGATGTCTAAAATGCAGCAGCTATTGAGTCATATTTGATGTCCTCATGGGCAATGTGTGGCCCAAAGGCTGGCCGCCTGTCTGCATGGCGAAACAGCAGGTACTTGGGAGATGACAGTGAGATATTCCTGGTGGCAGGTGCAGGCAGAGAAGAACTGGATGTGTATGTAGGAGGATCATACCTATATATTGTCTAACCTGCAAGGTCGTAGAGCTCAGTATCTGATGCACTAGCCAAGGCTTCTTCTAGTTCCGGATCCAGGGTCACTTTCTCTTCTTTATGGGTTTCTATGGGCTTTTCTTTAGGGATAAATATTTTTCCTAAGAGAAGAAAAAAGCCAGAGTGAGTAATGAATTATTGGAACAATTCATCTGCCTCCTGGCAGTGGGGGAATAAGTCTGTGACAATGGAACTGCTTGGAAATATATCAAGGGCATGCTTTCCTTTTTCTACTCGATGCTATCCTTGATGCCAGGATCTTAGTAAGAGTCTAAAAATAAAAGGTACCAATTTCTGCTCTGTATTGGTGATTGTTAATATGGAAGCAAATTTCCTAAAATTAATCCCCAGGACCAGTCACAGCTGGGATTTTTCTGAAGTTCCTGTGGCCTTAAATAAGGCAGAAACAGGTCTATGGAAACAGCTTGCAAAAACGTCATTCTTATATTTAAATGAGGTACCAGAAACAGTTAAAACCATCCTACTGTAAGAGTCTTTCAGTTTACCAAATTCCATACCAGAGCCTGAAAGTCCAGCAAAGCTGTTCTCTTCCAGTAACTCAATTTAATTCCCAGTCTCTCCATGAGTATCTCCCCTCTGGGTCTCCTGATGATCATTCACATAAAGAGCCTTATCCTGAAAAGTCTGAACTGAACAGAACCACGTGTTCCCAAAGAAAGACTCCTGACCTATGTGTCTCTCCTTGTATCCTGCTGTTACATTGGGGTCAGCAGGTGTCTGTTTCCATCCATGCAATATTCCTCAAGACTGAGATCATCAGCCCTTCTGCTGAAATGAGAAAACTGTAGATAAATCCAGAAACACCACAAAAAGTCCCACTACTCCTGTACCCTGCTCTTACATTTAACCTCAGCAGTGTGATGACGTAACTGCAAATACTTGGCACTAGACCCTTTAAATCAGAGCTAGGGCTGCACTTCAGTCACCAGCACTGCTGGGGCTTTTCTCCCACTCAGGACTTTGCTGTACCAACCCATACAGTCAGTAATACAGTAGATGATGCCACATGCAACAGATGGTGTCATTGCTCTGATAATTCTGTGAATTCCCATGTTCTACTGTCCACTGCAGAGTAGCTCCCCTCACCCTGTCCCTAACCACTACTTCTCAAGTAGGCTTTAGTTAATCCCATTGTAATGAAGCTGTGATGACCTTTGGATGCGGGGAACTTTGGGCCACTGTCAACTTTGAATTGTCTTTTTGTGCAGCTTTGTACATTCTAAATGTAATGCTTGAAGCATATCCTGTGGCTTTCAGAAATGTCTCTAAAATAGTTTAATTTCAACTGTATTAGTGATACTGTTTTGTTACCAGTGCTGATACTCAGTGTTAAATTACAGATGCTTTGCCCCTGCTTCTTCAACACTGTCATCCTTTTGTGGCTTAATTTTTCCCCATTATGATCCAAAGTATCATTTTCATGTAGATAATGCCTAGTTCATTTATCTCTTTCACACAAGTTTGTCTACAGCAATTTCTACACTGTCAGCTTCCATGACTGAGGTCACGGAATAAGCTCAGAAAAAATTTTAATGGATATTTCGGAAACTTTGGCATGGTTTACTGACGCAGGATTCTAATTATCTACCCTAGAGATATTTGTACTAAGGCTAAATAATTTCTGAGTACAAAACTGGACAGAAAGTCATGTAGAAAGACAAAGTAGTATCATATTATGATTCATTTTACATGCAATATTTTAACTAGGTAATTTTTTTTTGTGGGCCAAAGGTAAGAATCATTTTCACTTTCACAATGCACTGGGTGATATGAATCTGAGACAGCCTTCCAAGCAACATCCAACAAAAGTCAAGTGGAAATCTGGGGTGAGAAATACTCTATGAAGGTAGCTTTATTTGTGCTCTCCCTGTACTACCACCTAAACTGAAGTCTGTAAAATATTTTCCTTTCAGATCTGTAGTGGTTCCACATGAGTTTCAAGTAATCAGTAGGTCATTTGAGATCTTGTGGGAATCCTGCTTATCTTTATCCTGGCTGATAATACTATTCCCTAGGAGCTGTACTCCACAGAGCCATAGCTCACATGAAACATCTCCATCAGGCAATGAGTGATTCTTCACAGACCCAAACCCCAGCCAGTCTCTTAGCAAATACTGACAGAAATCTATACTGTTGCATATAACATTGTAAGGGGACAGAGGACCTGGAGTCTTGTATAAACTGGACACAGTATGCATTACAGTTGGTCCTTCCCAGTGGACCTTGGATGTGGGCAGGCCACGTATCTTGGGTAGCAAGAAATCCAGCGATAATGGAAACCAATACAGGCTCATACTTTTTCTGTACAGTTCACATGTATAGAAATACAATTTCTAAGCATTTTTTCAGGCATATGTAATTCTTGGAGGGCAGCCCAAATCTTTTTACTTGTGTGTATGACTCCCAATGATAGTTTCATTTAAAGCATTCTTGGCAAATGTTTTAGAAAAAAATTCTATTACTGGTTATATGAAATATTTCAAGGGGTAAGGTCATGTCAAAGATGGCAATATATATCTTTAATATATGTGGGCCTTAATGGCATCCAGTGGCATTTAAAAAATATTCTTTTTTCTGATATCTAGATAAGAACATTCTTTTGCATTATCCCACTGTCAAGAGATGCGGTGGCATAGCAGATAGAGGTTAGAAGAGCTTATCCATTTAGCACATTAGTAGGAATTCATTATCTGTTGACCAACAACAAAAGCTGTGTGCCTGTGTTAATAAATGGCTGTCAACCAGTTTTCCTTCGTTATTTTAAGGACAGAGTTTAAAGATCCAGGAGGTCCCTTCCGTTGTGTAAATTCAATATGTAGTGCCATCATGGAATTCACTGACAAACTAAAATATGGCTTGTGGCTTGCTTGTTTCAATGGTCCAGCTTAAATTTAAAATTTATTATTTGGAAGAAGCCCTGGAAGAATAGTGACATTTTATTATTTTAAAGTGAGATTTACGAAGAAAGGCTGTTCCTCTTCATGCTCTTTATAGTCACACTATATTTTAGAAGGTATTTTATTATAGCATTCCATGTGGTATAATTAATGTTGGCTGTGTTACATTTTGCCTCCAGAATATATTAATGTTCTGTGCTAAGTCTTAATAGTAATAGCTTATCTTTCTACCAATGAAAAAAAACAGTGACAAAAGTTATGTTTATAGATATCATGTAAATCAATGCAATTCTCCCCTTCTTTCTGTCAAACTGAGATAAGTGCCTGGTCACCAGGGTGACTGAAGCATCTTATTATAACCCAGGGACTTTCTGAATGTGACTGCAGTGAGTAGAGATTTGTCCCAGCTCAGTTTAACAGCAGCCCTATTCCTTTTCATACACTGCAAAACTTCTATTCAAACTGAAATATGATATGGTTCATGTTTTACCCTAAAGAGTCTCAAGGAAAAAATCCATTGAAAACTAGAGAGAAGGAGGATTCAGTAGAAAGGACTACAGAGAGACACAGAAATGCAAAGTGAGATAAAAGGAAAACAAATTCTATGAAAAAAAAAGAAATACACTGTGTACAGTCATAGAACCATAGGTGTAAGTTTGCCACTTGGTTTTAGCAAGCTCTGATTTCCTGCATTATGCAAATGCCTCCATTAAAGCAATCAAAGTAAACTAAGGAAATGAAATGTATCCCTAACTTCATTTCCTTATGCAGTAATAGTCAACTACATAACCACATACGCATATCTGCAGGAAAATGCATTAATTGGGCAGGAAACTACTTCAAGTTTATTTTCCTGAAATAAGTTTAATTGTTTATTGTCATATAAAGGAAAAAAAAAAAGTAATTTTAATAGCATAATTGGTAGGATATTACTAGTGTGACCAATCTAAAAAACATTCTGAAGATTTCATCTTCATTTATAGTTTACAGTATTTGGAACATCTTCTCTCTGCCTTCCTTCCTATGTCATTAGACTTTTGTGAATTCCCCCATTTTAATTATATAAATACTCAGTATTTATTCCCACCTTGTACAAGCCAAAATTGTACAAGCAAAAACTCAGCAAAGCACAAAGCAATGGGAAATAACCCCATTGATTCAAGCTGTAAAAATGTCCTTTTATTTAAAATCAGTTTTATTAAGGATAGTTACTTAATTTTATAATACAAATGCATTTTCTGTCATAATTGTAAAACAGTAACATACTTTCTTTTCCTATAAGCTGTGGTTCAGATTATTGTACTTTCAAGAAAATGTCTGGTTACACTTACTACTTCTTACTTTTCAATGAATCGCTGACTACAGTGAGTGCCTGTTTATTCTCAATTACAGAATGCTGCACTGACCTTAGAAGTGAAATTCAATAATCTTGGAAATCTGCCTTGCATAAATCACAGGCACCTGATTCACTTTTTCCATTTTGCACTATTCTTTTCTTCTGAAACTTCCTTAAACTCCTCTGTGGAGTTCTATGAAAATTGAGCTAGTTCATACCAGGAATAAATTTGTATCATGAAGAAGAAAACAGGCTAAGTTCAAGTAAGTGTGAAGCCAAAAACTAGTAGGGATTAAAATGCAGTTTCATAATTGCTGCTGTATTGTTACTCTTGGATTAGTGTCTGCATATTCTTTGCCTTTAAAATTATGATAATGGAAAGGAAGGTTGCAAAGTTAAGCTTTCCCAAGTTATTAAATCTATTGTGCATATGCACAAAGTCAAATTGCAGCAGCATCTTTCACTTTGGTCAGCGTGCCTAGATTCTGCCACCTTAGCAATACCCTTTAAAGAATTATTCTGAAAAGTGTACTTTCCCAAATGAAAATAAACAAAAGCCAACCTATAATCTTTAGAACAGAAGGAAGTCCAGAATTTCATCAGGCCCTCACATGGAGTACCACAACAGTTAGGATCCTTGTATTCCTGCAGCAGTCCTCTGGACTACCACATGGGTAAACCCACTTCCCCAACAGCAGGAGAAGGCTGTTATGTGGAATGGCAGCAGAGGAGGAGAGTCAAGCTGCTGGGCTTTAGGTTCTCAGGGACATCAAAGAGCCTTGAGACTTAGGCAAAGCTAGATGCCACACTAGTCATCTTCATCTCTGGCCTCTTTTCTCCCGTCTCA